CATAATGCCGATGCACGAAGAGATTCCCATCACAGCGATGACATGACCCTTGAGCTTGCCTTTCGCCCCCTGTCCTCGAGGCTCTGGGAGGCTGTTGGGCCTGCATCGCCAGGTCATTAAGGCTAGCAGCCTAGGCACCCATTGCTCGGAGGTTACAGACCTGAAGATCCGTGGCAATTTGAAAAGAGAAGGAAATTTCAGTTCAACTGCAGATCTGGGACGTCTTCTTATTGCTAAACTTTATTTGGGAATATTGTTCAAGAAACTAATTCGAAAAAACATTGTTCAGCATCGAACCCATCTCCAGTGACATGGTTGAAAAAGCTGTGAATCTAATTAATGAATACCGAACACGTAGCTTTTACCACCGAGAACGAAAAAAACGACGAGGAATCATATAATGGTCTATTTAATGGATGCGGATTTTTGATAGTTCCCGAATTGCCTAAAATCCCGATTTGACTGCCATGACATACCAATACCAACGCAATCTCTGTCATTAGTCCTCCTCCGGTAGTCCGACTAGCCTGAGAGAGTCCCTCCATAGTCTCGAAGCTTTCTCAAGATCGAATGCCCACGGAGCATACCCCCTAGAGGTCAGCCTGTCCTCTCCTTCGAGGTGCGGCTCTGCGACGTCGCAGTCAACGAGATACTTACCACGCTGATGCTGCAGGTTCTTCCCGACAGCGGCGAGAAGCGTGGTAGCAGCACCTTGTTCGACGCTCTTCATTGTAGGGTAGATGTAATCCATACCCTTGAAGGCATCCGGAGGCATGTGACGAGTGAGGCCGGTGACTATGATACCAGGATGAAGACTGGTCCCGTGTAAATGACGTGAGCCGAAGCGGCGCTCGATTTCGTTGGCCAAGTATATATCAGCCGTCTTTGATTGGCCATATGCTGTATTAGCATCGTACGTGGTCTTCTCGAAATTGTAGTCACTAGTGTCGCTTATGCCGTAGAAAAGGTGGGCGGTGGATGCGAGGCTGACGACGCGAGATGGAAGTTCCGAGGAAGCGTTCGCTAGAAGACCCGGCTCGAGGACCTTGAAAAACAGGAAGTGCGAAAGATAGTTGGTCCCAAAGTGAAGTTCGTGGCCGTCTGCACTACGGCGAAGCTCGGGGATCCCCATAATACCGGCGTTATTGATAAGAAGGTGGATTCGTGTAGAGGTCTTATCCAGAATGACCTTGCCAGCCGCACGGACAGAATCCAGAGAGTTTTGATCCATCTTAATGATCTCCATGCAGGTAGGATCGAAAAAATCAGCCAACGCAGCTTTGGCCTTGGGGATGTCTCGCGCCGTGAGGAATAGGTTAGCACCGGTGAGGGCAAGAGCCCGGGCCGTCTCGATACCTATGCCAGAGGACGCTCCAGTGATAACAATATTCTGACCGACAAGTTTCCCTTCAGCTTCTTCATCCTTGACTATCTGGACGGCCGTCGGACGAGCATCCCCGGGTCCCTGCGGTGTCTTGTGGGCTTTAGCGTAGCGAGACATTGATGAGTTGGTTGGCTCGGATTGGAAATTCCGGATTGAACAATGTGCGTGAGACTTGGGGGGCTTAAATCTAATATATGGAGTGTGATTGTCGGATAATTTGTCTTGAAGGTCGTATGGAGTTGGAAGCAGAACCGCCAGTTTAAGTATCCTGCCATGAGACTGGTGAAGTTGAGGGTTCTGAAATCTGTTGAGAATGACCAAGGACAGATTTCAAAGCAACAAAGCCACTTTCCGAGATCCCGA